ATATGTATAGATTATATAACAAATAATGATTCTATTACACGTTACGCAACGTTAGTTTAGTTTAACAACGATCGTAGTTAATGAGATCTTGCATTCGACTGATATTCTCTTAGATCTAAGAATATATTCCAATTAAATGCAAAAGTTCACTAACTACGGCTGTTACTAAACTGAATTAATTTTGCGGTATAAATATTATCAATAACATGTTAAACTACAAAAGTGAGAAATCAATTGAATCAAGGCAGAGACTAGCAAACAAAAGTATCCTCAACCAGTTTTACCAATCAATAAATTATTAAACTGACCAATCTGTTGAATAATTGATTTATTTTTACATATAACACAAAGGAAAAAGGATTTACATAATTTATCCCTCCTAACTAGTATAATTTAATATATTTTGAAAACCACAAGACCCTTAAAAGTAAAAACCAATATTAACAATTGAAATCATTCAACGACCTATATAACCCTTTTATCTTTATTACCCCTTTAATTAACCCCTTAATCTTTGACACAGTCCTGGTTCCAAGCCATATCTGTAACATTTATTATCATTTCCTGGCTGAGATCCCACAACCGCAAACTTAGTGAGCGATTCAACGACGCACTCGACGGAGAGCAGCGGTAACAGTTGTTGAAGTAGCCACCGGTTACGCCGTCCAGCTCGAGTGCCGTTGCACAGAATATCGACGTGCTTGCTGCTTGTTGCTGCAATGCATTTTGTATGCAATTTCTCATTCGTATTCTTTTTTCATACTAACAAGTGAAGTCAAGGACAGTTAATAAGTTTTTTTTCATACCAACGATTTCGTAAATGGCCGTCCTAGTATGAACAGCACTTTAAATAGCCACCAGTATCGCGATAAGGACGAAGACACCAGGTTGCCGGGATGGCAGGAGAACACACTTACAGTGGGCCACCTATGCGCCAGTTCTTGCGCGAACATGACATTGCAGAGCTTCGAATCGTTATACGCTCCCATCGCCCAGTACTTGTTCGCCGGCGGGGACAATCTCGACTGTTGAATATCTTCTAGATTTCGTATCGTTGAAAATCTACATTACGAAATGTATCTGGTTATATGAGGATCCGGATAATTTGGTTTTACATTTAATACGACGAAAATGCACGTCGAGTTATTACCTGTGCGATTCGCTGGAAACTATTACAATTCTAGGATTAGCAGCTTTTTGTATGGAATGTTCTAATAAGAGTGTCAGATAAAACTGCGACAAGTGATTCACTTGAAACGTTGTCTCGTAACCGTCATTTGTGAGCTGATATGGTATTCCAAGCACACCAGCGTTTAATATGAGAATGTCAAGAGACCTGAACAACAAAAATTACTTCATGGTATAAGAAAGTAAAAAATTAACAATCATGTAATAAGAGCTTGTACGACTTCAAAAAATTGATATAACATGTGACACACGAAATTACTTAAATGACTTCTTGAACTCCTCCACAGCTTCTTGCACACTATGTAATGACGATAAGTCCAACTTCAGTGCTCTGCAATTTACACCCTCCTTCTCACATTTAATACGCCTTATTGCTTCTTCAGTTTTCTCTATATCTCTGCAGGCTAATACCACACTACAGCCGTGTAAAGCTAAGGATCTAGCAGTTTCGTACCCTACGTAGGAAATTTTTTTTTAATTGGTTGACGTATAAAGGCAATCGTATTATAGTAGCAAAGCTCATTTACCAATGCCTGTATTAGCTCCTGTGACTAAGGCAACTTTGTCACGTAAATCTCTGCCATATAACACTGCCAGAGCTGTGCTACTGCCATCGAATCTCTGTCGTACTGGTTGAGACATATCTCTGTACTCAGTGGCAAATGCAAGTCTTGGATCAGTGTAGGTCGTTGTACGGTTTGTATGGTCGACAAATAGAACTTTACCATCATCTGATACACATCTCTCCCATCCAGATGGAAGATCTGAAAAGAAATATTTAATTGTCTGTAACTCTGTCCTTGTTCAAGTCATTGTTAACTCTTTGTGCTTCCAAATGGCTTTAGAAAGTAGTCAGCTTAATAACATTCATTAATGAAAATCAAAGCAATATCTTGTATTATATTTTTGCATGCTGGAAAAGTTACATAACATATATATATATATACACACACATACATGTATATATACATTTATATATACACATATATGTTTACGGAATGTTTACAAACATATATTTTTGTTTCTAGGAAATAATGAAACAATGTTTTTTTATGCATGTAATATTTAATAGTTGTACAATATATATATATATATAATGCCAAAACTAATTAATATAAGTTATCCTTACACATAATCTTGTAAAAGTTAACCAAGTATTGTGTTAACAAATAATGAAACTAGTATATGTATACATGACAGAATATACATAAAAATTATTATAAATATAGTTGTCAAATCTAATTGACGTAAGAATTTAAAGGCTTAAATACCTCCGTCAACGATCTTCTTGCGGCCAGTTCTAGGATGAGTCCATTGGGTGCCCTTAATATAGTGACTACAAAACAATACTGTAATTCACGACCGAGTAATTCTAACTGCAAAGCGGTACTGTAATACGCGATTTATAGCACATAGATATTAACATTCTCTCGAGTCAGAGTGATCTTTGATCTATTGTTAAGGTCAAGAGACACGTGATACGAGACACGCGAAGGTCAAGAGACACATACAATGTAATAATACTTAAAAACATGATTTGTCAAAAAAACAAAATATATACTTCACGTAATAAACATTCCCATCCAATGTCGTCCGTTCTTCCCACCCCGGTGGTAATTCGTCCTCGCTGTCGGATTCGTTTAAAACACCCACCATTCTTGAAATCCTAACCTCCTCTTGTCCCTAAAATCAAAACAACCGGCTCGAGCTTGTCAAAATATTCGCGGGCTACGTTCTATTTGATGACAGTGTCGACGCGAACATCTTTTTATCTCTGTTTTTCACCGCATGTGGACGGAAATAGTACGATTCTCGCGTCCACCAAATGGAACCAACTTTTATGTAACATACTAGAAATACGATCCACTTGAAGCTGCGAGCACTTAGAGCGCTTAAAGTAAAAACATGATTGGTCTATATGGCGTTTTAAAGTATACTCAACGGAAAGTGGAACCTGTCTTAAAGTCAGATCACATTAACAATTGACAATTGAATTGCGATTGCGACTGGAGATTACTTTTCAACCATTCAGAGTTATGTATTTCTATCTGGACGTACGTAAGTACCGGCAGAATTTAAGAGTTCATAAAGATGAAAGCAAAGCAAGTTCCTTTGAAATATAATATATTGTTCATAAAAATGTTAACAATCTTTTCAGAATATGTGACATAACATATATAGAAACATATAAAATTAAATTTGTTTCTAAGATATGTATAATTGCAAGAAGTGGAGACTCGACTATTTTTTCGTTTTTCGCGCGTGTATGTAATAAATTATATATTGTCACTACCTCGATAATAATCGTCGCACGTCGACTGACAGGTTCAGTGTGAATCCTGCATAAGCTTTGTTCTACGCATACAATTGAAAATTACACAATTGTAACAGTAAAGTTATAATAATATAAAAAGTTATAATAGCTCCGCTTATAATGTTTTCGGCCTTATGTGATCTGTGTAAGATTGAAAATTATGTAATTCTCGATCTGGCACACATGACATCGACTGTGCTAAATTATAGTCATAGCAGTCTAGATAACATATAGAAGTAACAAGTATGTATAAAAGTTTGTACTTTTCACACTATACCTGCTTGAAATAACAGATAAGGATCGAAGAAGATATATGGTGTGAAAACGTGACTTTTTTTTACACAGGTATATTAGTCAATTGATACCAGGAAAATTGTTATTTCAGCATCATTTCAATTTCATTTTCAATAACCCGTTTTATGATCTTTTTGTTTTTTTTGTTTCTTTTCAGAAAACTCCTTTGCTCTAATGCTGCGACAGAGATTGTTTCATGTTGCGAAGTACAGTAGAATCTTGCAGAGAGTTTTGTGTAAAAACAATCATGCAGGATACAAGGTACACGATATGAAATAAATATATCAGGATATAAGATCTGTTTTTGATGGTTGTGTTTTCTGAACGACCTAGTAATTCTGTTTCTTCTCCCATCCACCAAGTGTCGAGCAGATGTTTTTTTCATCTTAAATAAAGATACCGTGCAACTCGTTACAGTTAATACAGCAAGGACAGACTTATGATAACAATGTTTGCATGTATTAAGTATATCAAAATAATTCTTTGTACAAGGTGAACGATATAAGAGTTGTCAGGAAGTTAACATGGGCAGCATCGCCATTTATTTCAATGGGAATATGGGGATTCATGAAAAACACGAAAGGAGAAGAAAACAATGTTGAAACACAAATCATAGATAGAAAAATTCTTCTTCATAAGGCGGATGCGCTCTTTGATCAAGGAAATTACAAAGAAATATACGACATCTTATTGAACCATAAGGTAGCCAATATTTTCTAAATTATTGTTATATACATGATTTATACCAGTATTATGTACTTTTTGTTTATCTTATTTATAGGACAGCAAGGATGTTGAGATTTTGTGGCGTTTGAGCAGAGCTATTTATAAGATATCCAAAACTGCTAGTGATGTCGAAGCACGAAAGTTGATTTACGAAGGATACGACTTGATACACACTGCCCTTGGCCTTGAAAAAGATCACTTTGCTGTTCATAAATGGATGGCCATCTTCCTTGATAGCAAAGGCACTCTAGAAGGCACAAAAGCACATATAAAAGAATTGCAGAACATTAAAAGACATTTATTGGTAAGATACTTCATGGGAAATTCATTTAAATATAAATACAAATTTGTAAGTTAAATAATGAAGTATGACATTTTCTAAATTTATGCGTACAAAGGGTACTTGGAACGTTATGTTATCGTTATGCGTATTATGTTGTACTGCAGAGAGCGACTGAATTAAATCCAGCCGACGCGACGACATTTTACATACTTGGATGCTGGTGCTATGAAATTTCAAATTTGACATGGTACCAACGTAAAATAGCGTCCGTCATATTTGGCGAACCTCCATTCTCGTCCTTCGAAGAGGCGTTAACGTATTTCGAACAGGCCGAGAAAGCTGATCCAAATTTTTACAGTCACAATTTATTGATGTTAGGAAAGACGTACCTGAAGCTGCAACGTAACGAGGATGCGGTGAAGTATCTGCAGAAAGTTATCGCATTCCCGGCAAAGAATGATGACGATCAGAAAGCGAAACAGGAGGCCCAGAAAATATTAAGCGATATTTCTTTGAAATAAAAATAGTGATATTTTAAATATATTTTTACACTTTTATATATATGGGAGAAATATATATGCAACATAACGTACATATTATTTTGTATTTTATATATATATATATATATATATATATATGGGAAAAAGGATTGTATTGCGCACATATATATATATAAACAGATGTATTTCTTCTTGTAGATGTGATTAAAAGACTTCTTTTACAATAGCGAATTCCTTGTAAAAACACGCATGTATACATGTGTACATATGTGCCTGTGGGAATCTTTTAAAGATTAAAAGTCTTTTTTGACTATATATCAGGTGTAGAAGTTTGAAACCGGGATTTTTTTGTAAAAATTACACGTCTTGTTTGAAAATGATAAAAAATATTCTATTCAAAATAATGTCCATTGCTATTTATACATTTTTCCCACCTCTCCGGCAGTTTATGAATGCCACGCCAAAAAAACATTTCTTCTTTTGAAGTGAACCAGCTATCGAGCCATTTTCGTACATTTTCATACGAATTGAAGCGTGTTCAGCGAGAGCGTGTCCCATTGATGCGAATAGATGATAATCGGACGGAGCCAAGTCTGAAGAATAAGCCGCATGCGTTATATTCATTAATATAATTTATTATATAATTGATTCATGATGTATAGTCAGAGTCAGAACAAATGTTTTTTTTGTGTCATTTGTTTCTAACTGTAAGATCAATTTTATATTACATTAGATATTTTTATATATTTATATAAAAAATATTCCACGTTTAGAATCAATAGTAATTTTTTTATAAAAACGTAAAATTTAATATATATTTTTATACATATACATATTGTGTTTCGATATCAACCCGATATTTGTACGAAGCGTATTATCGAATCCTTCCTTACCAACGATTCGTGTAGTGGTTATCCTGCGACGAATATGATTGTTGACAGGTCGAACTACTGACATTAGGCAATTATTCGTTTGTTCTTGACTAGTCTATTGTTAAGCCAATGTCAGTATTATTATACCTGCCCAACAATGAGTTTAGTGTACGGGTAACTTAGCAGAAAGGTAAATACCTTGATACCTGTAACGTCTTTGTAACAGGCATTATTCTTTCGTCACATATTATAATTTAAACGAATTATAAAAGTGAAGTGTCTCTTATATTACGTTATTTCATTGTTCGTTCATATTAGTTCATTATTCGTTATGTACAATCATTTTTTGAATGTTATATCTTTAAAGCACAACGTTTGTGGATCTGTTCTTTATAGGTTAGGTGATGTTTAACAGCGCGTCTTCATAAAAGAAAAGAAAAGAGAAAAGGACTACGATGTTGCATCGATCCTACAAATTTCTGAACTTCATTCGGAGCACAAGTATTCGATGCAACGTCGATCGGTTGGGCGTATACCAGGTTGAATTTATCAGAAGACACGCCAGTATTTTTATAATACCCAAATATGGCACTCGGTACAAAATGTGCAAGTTCACAAGTTCTCAAAGAATTCTCATTAATGGGAAAGTGGACAAGTATGATGATCGGAGATCGATCTATACGACGAGATTTTTATCCGATGATGCGAAGACTAAGAAGGACAAGTCTGAAAAAATAGTTGGGGATTCCCAACAGAGAATAATAGAATTAGATGAAGAGAAACTAGGTAAATTAAAGGAAAGAGTATTAGATATAGAACCAATTAGTCCAGTTGACAAAAGCAGAGTAGAGACTGGGGAAACGGCGAAGCTTGCCGAAAAGCAGTCCGCGGAGTCCAAAGAATCATTGAAAGACGATGTTTTAGATACACTGAAGAAAGGTATGAAATGCCAAGAAGTACCAGCTTGTGTGTCTTCGACGCTAATTTTTCACATTTTTCTTTAGCGAAGAAGAAGATCAGAGTTGACAAGTCGACATCTTCCTTGGAACGTAACTTTATCACACCTGTGAGAGCTATGTCCGACTTCTTGTTGAAGCCCACTGACTTGGAGACTCTGCCAAAAACCAAGAGACGCTCACCCTACGAGCTCGAGCCACCCATCACGGTTTACTGGAGGAAGGATGTTGAGGCCAAGTGAGAAAGAAAGAGAGAGAAAGTGACTCATTGCGCGCATCAAGTACTACGACCGCTCACTGAGCTCCTGTGTTTAATCGACCTGTTCTCTTAATTTCCAAAATATACACCGATCAGACGAGCGAGAACTCTGATCGAGTGGTTGTAGCATTGAATGCACCCGGTGACTCAGTAAATTAAGTTAAACATTCAAGTCTCGTCTCTTCACAGAGCGTTAGAAGTGTGGGGTTCGCGGGAGGCTTTGCTGAAGGAGATCCTGAAGAAAGAGGTCGAGCGGAAGATCTATCAGCAAAGTAAATATGTAAATAGTATACAAAGGTCAAACTGTAATATATTTTGATAGAAAGAAAGAGAGAGAGAATATCGCGATAGGAAAATCTTCTTGATAGAATAACCGGCGCAAAGTTTGAAATCCGAAACTTTCGTTCGCAGATGTCTTCACGGTCAAGCGAAGGTTGAGGGATTACAGGCGAGAGATCGGCAGCAAGACGGAAATAATCCAGAAGGAAGGTCTCTTCGGCAGATCCGGCAAAGTGGTGTTGACCGCAGTAGCGATGTACGTGTCTAACGTTTTCATCACCATGTGAATCATGTGTCCGACTCCAGGTTGCCCCGATTAATCCTCTCCCCTTGTTTCCTCCTTTCCAGAAACGCCAGCAACTTCTTCTGCAAATTGGTCGCCTGGTTGTACACCGGCTCGCACAGTATGTTCTCCGAGTGCATACACTCCGCGGCGGACACGTGTAATCAGCTGATTCTCGCGTACGGTATTCACAAGTCGGTACAGGTGAATATTCATCACGTCCCTACGTTTCGACCGAGTTGTAGAAGTTCTTCTCACTCGAGCCACTTTGCAGAATCCCAATCCCGACCACCCGTACGGCTACACGAACATGAAGTATGTTTCCTCGCTGATATCGGGCGTAGGTATCTTCTGCGTCGGTACCGGTCTCTCCGTCTACCACGGGATTCACGGGCTCTTGTTCCCCGAGTCACTGGATTCCCTCTTCTGGGCGTACTTCGTCCTGGGCGGATCCCTGCTCTCCGAAGGCGCGACATTAATGATGGCGTTGCATTCTGTGAGGAAGGGCGCGGAAGAGAAGAAAGAGAGCTTCAAGCAGTACGTCCTGGAAGGGCAGGATCCATCCGTGAACGTTGTACTCATGGAGGACTTTGCAGCCGTGAGTTGTCGCGCTCTCGGATCGTTCTATCCGACTCCTTGCCGTCCTGAGTCTTTCTAGTGCGAATCGTCGATACGGAGAAGAGATTTTGAAGAAAAGTTTTTGATCATCGAGAAAAGTAACGATCATAGATTCTAAGTGCCGCCGCAGGCCCCAAAATGGATCAAATGTTTGAACGTTTAATTTTGTTATCTAAACGTTTGGTTCTTTTATTTAGATGTTTAATTTTTTCATTTAAATTCTTTTTTTTTTTTTTTTTAATCTAAACGTTCAATTTTGATTGTGCTCAGGTACTCGGCGTGATCGGTGCGGCCGGATGTATGGGTTTGACTTCGTATTTAGGGAATCCGATGTTCGACGCCATCGGTTCGCTCCTGGTCGGCGGCCTCCTCGGCGGAGTGGCATCTTTTATTATTTACTCGAACGTCGCCGCCCTCGTAGGCAGAAGTATTTCACAAGAGAATCTCGATAAGATCAATGCTGAATTAGAAGCGGATATAATGGTAATGCCGTCTAAATCAAATCATCCACGTTTCGTCGTCTTTCACGATTTCTCGATATAACGTTTTCTCTCCACGTAACAATTGAATTTAGGTCCGCGCCATACACGATGTGAAAGGCATCGATATGGGCAATAATTTAGTAAGGTACAAAGCCGAATTGGATTTTGATGGGCGGGAACTAACAAGATCTTACCTAGACAAGCATGATCTTGTCACGATGCTAGAGGTATATAATTATATATAATAAGTATCGGTGTTATTTCTCCTATCTTCACTCAAAGTGGTGTAGTAATATAATCGTAATAATTGAATCCTGCTTCATCTTTTCTCGCGTAGGAAGTAAAGAGTATGCAGAATATCGATGAATTAGAAACCTTCCTACTGAGACATGGCGAAAATATCGTAGACATGCTTGGTGGGGAGATCGATAGAATAGAATTAAAGCTGAAGGTAAGCGAAATTATTAATCTTGTTAATCTCTAGATTCGTAATTAGTAATTACAAATCTAAAAGTATCAACGTGCCGGACATTTTCGTAATTCTCTTATATTTTCAGAAAAATCATCCCGAGATACGGCATTGTGATTTAGAAATTCTATAAGCATTCATCAAGATGATTTTCTAAGTTCAATTTAGGTGAAAATCGATGTAAAATATTCAACTAAAAAATATATATATATATTTAATATATGTAAATTATATATAATATAAATTATATATAATTATATGTATTATATATATATATGTATTATAATAATAATTATGTATTATAATATGTATTATAATAATAATTGTTAGATTATAAGGAAAACAATTTTTTAGGCGCTCGAAATAAAAACTCAGTGTTTGATTTGAGTAGCGGGGAAGAGTCGTACGTTTTGTAAATGATTTATATAAGTTGTATAGCTGCTGTAAAGGCATCGTTCAGTGAAATAAATTGGCGAGTATTTGTACAAATATCGCGCGCCCGTTGTGTCTCCCATATCTTAACAATAAAACACAGAAATTTCATATAACCGTACAATGACGCGTGACACTGTATTTGTAATCTTATATTCAATTGCAATTTAAATTTAAAAAAACTATTATAAATATGAGCGTAAAAAGACACGCGGAGCGGAACTCATTAATCGGCGATACCTTTTTAGCGTATCGATTTTTCCAGCCGGTCTCCACAGAGCCCCGTAACGACAACAGAGCGTTACTATGGACTTGGTTCACGACGATCCCAGGCCTTGAGATCACCGGCTAGTTGCGTGGTTGAACCGCCGGGTGTTGACCCTGCGAGGGAGAGTTTTCGGCGTGCCGGTTGGTTTTTTGCTGCGACTATCCAAGAACGAAGAGAGCTCGCGCGAAATTGGTTACGAGCCGCTGGGACGACGGCCGAACGATCAGCACGTCCTGGCTTAGGAGATGGCACGTCGAAATCGAGACTCCCACGGGGAAGAGAGGTCCACGGAGATCGCCGGGCCGTTCGAGCGGAACGACAGTGAGAACGACGCCGCGGACAATGATAGCTACGCGAAAGCTGGTAGCGCGCAGAAACGACGGACCAGCTCCGAAGACTCGAGCCGGCCGTACAACCAGGAAGCCAAGACAGTTTGTATCGGCTCGATTATATCGGAGCAGAGAGAGAGAGAGAGAGAGAGAGAGAGAGAGAGCGTGATATCATAATCGGAATCTATTCTATCTGTCTTATTTCACTCGTCGCCTTGCGAATAAAAAATCGATCCGCGGGAATAATTCGCGACGGCCGATAAATCTGTGTGTCTCGGTTTATCTCGCGTTACGCTCGCTTGAGAGGCGACGCGTATTTAAGTAATAGTAAGGAAAGAAAAAAAAATAGAAATGGAGGTGGCGCGAATTACATCGAACATTGAACTCTCGCTGTTCAACATCTCAGAGCTTCCTGCGGCGGCAAGGCGACATCGGAGACACGGAGACCGGGTTTCCGGGCGTTAAGAATAACGACCAGCCTCGCAGGGTCGAGGAGCGTTTACGTGGGAAGGCGTATCATCCCGATACTCGCGCGAACGAGGACAGGGTCGCGTCAAAATCGCTGGCAAGCAGGAAGCGGAAGCGCAGTAAACGGACTGAGAGACGGAGACTCGGCGATCGTCGCGATCGCCTCGACTCCGAGTCGTCCCCGAGACGTTACAGCGGGGTAGATGGCCTGACCGATAAATCACAGAGGAAGAGGAAAAACGCCAGCCGAGGTAATGAGGAGAGCAATCTTTTTACCGCGGATCAACGGATTTTTTGCTGTCTTCGTCTTTCTGAGAAATCTTGGTCTCACACAGGAAAAAGTAGTCTTATATAAACCAATGATAGATATTCTCATACATAAGCAAGAATATTATAATATTCTTAGAAGATTCTTAGTCTTTTGAACTGAATATATCATAAGTTCGTCGTAAACGTCGAATTTATTTATCAAAATATATCCCTAGTAAGTTAAGTGCCTCAATCGAGAATAATAGAACAAACTTTAGTTTAATCGAATTAACCGAATTTAACTTTTCCTCGATAAAGTTTATATTATTCAGAAGAGAATAAATTCTCCCCTTGAATACATGATAAACGAGCTTCTCTCAAATTTGCGATGAGTATATTTTAAGACTATCGTCGGGGAAATATTCTTTGTTGAAGATAGCTATTATTTAAAAGAAGGAAAATAAACTGAGTAATCGTTTTTCTCAGCAGTAGTTTTCTCTGTATGCAACATAAGAACTATGATATGAGTAAAACAGATTTAATATATATATATATATATATATATATA